GGGGGGGGCTGTGAAGGCCTCTCCTGTCTAGGCAGCTCAGCAGCTGGACAGGAGAAGCGGCGCGGGAGGGGGCTGTGAAAGCCTCTCCTGTCCGGGCAGGTCAGCAGCTGGATGGGAGAAGCGGCACTGGGGGGGGGGGCCCTGTGAAAGCCTCTCCCGTTTGGGAGGCTTGGCGGCCGGACAGGAGAAGCAGCGCTGGGGGGGCGTGGTTCTGTGGGTGGGACTCAGGAGACCTGAGCGACAGTTCATGCGGCCAACCACTGTTGGCGCGCATCGAACGTTGGAGGCCAAAACGGCTTTATATATAAGGGAGAGATGTCTGCAAGAATCCATCACAAGCACCTGACAAAGTAGGCTCTAGTCCACAAAACCTTATGCTAGAATGAAAATGTCTTCGTCTTTAAGGTGCCACCAAAGTCCTATTTATTTTTACTGCAACTAAAATGGTGATCCCTCTGGAACTGAAGGTAACAGCAACTATTCCAGTGAAATATGTGTGAACCTGGAGGTGGTAGTGAAAAATCAGCAAACTGGTGACCGAGGATAGAGTTACCACTGACAGCAGTCCACTGTCATTTAGTTTAATATAGATGATTTAAAAAGAAACAAGCTCAATGCTTGTTTCTTGTCTAGACAATGTTAAACCTCTGGCACTAATCCTGCATATACTGTCAAACAAAATCCATGGAAGTACTATATCCTGAATCAACTGCAAGAGATAAATCACCTTAGACGAAAAGCCAGAGACTCACTTTATCAGGATCAAAGAACTGTAATCCCTTCAAAAATTCAAAGGGGCAGTAGCAGATCAATCTATAGAGTAGGTAAAAAGGTTAAAGTTTCCCTTGCTCGAAAACCAGTCGAATCCGACCCTAAGGGGTGGAGCTCATCTCCGTTTCCAAGCCGAAGAGCCAGCGCTGTCTGAAGATGTTTTCGTGGTCATGTGGCCGGCATGACTAAACGCTGAGATGCACAGAATACTTACCTTCCCAACCAAAGCAGTACCTATTTATCTACTTGCAAATTCTTGCTTTTGAACTGCTAGGTTGGCAGGAGCTGGAACCAGGGACGGGAATTCATTCCGTCCCACGGCACTAGGGTCTCGAACTGCCGAACTACAGACCTTCCGGTCTTTCGGCTCAGCATCTTAACCTCTGAGCCACAGTGGCCCTATGGAGTAGGTGGACCACTTCAAATATTTAGGAATTATTTTTCAAGCAAATCTTTCTTGGAAGATGCATCTGACATCCATTGCTTTGAATACTGGGAAGGCCATCTCAAGATTCTACTATTCCTCTGGGGTCCAAGTATGTTCCCTCTGGCAGTTACAGTATTCACCACTAGGTTCGTTGGGCAGATGCTATATGCTGCCAGGGTCTGGATTGGAGCAGTAACGAACAATATTGATAAACCACTACTAAGATTCCTGCACAGTATCTTGGGAGTTCCTAAAAGTATTTCTGGAATAGCTCTGAGAGCCAAAATTGGGGAGATGTCCTTTGAAGCAAAGGCCTAGGGAAGAGTATTTAATCTGAAATTTAGGATACTAAAATCAAATCCAGAATCAAGCTTCCTTGGACTAGTTAAGCTGGACCACCACATAAGTGACTGGGATAGACTACTAGATCACAAATTGCCATGCCTGGGTATTACCCAGGATGCAATGGAAACAATGAGTAGTTAAGAATTGACCCAGCTCACTAGAAGACGACTTAGGGACTTTGATTATGAGAGCATGCTGATCAGGCCCGCAGAGTGTGTTCATCCTTCTCAGTTTGTATTCTCCCTCCAACAAAAATGCCAAATTATCTGAGTTAACTATTCCAAAGTATAGAAAGGCTTTTATGCTAGTGCATCTGAATGCCCTATCTTCAGTAGTGATCCTAGGAAGATTCAGTGGAATTCCATACTCAGATAGACTCTACAATTGTGGCAGCAACAAAATTGACTCTGTTGACCACATCATCTTCGATTGTCCTAAGTTCTCTTAACGTTCCCTTAACAGCTTGAGAACAAAGGACTTTCTTTAACAATACAAGAGAATAATTGTAGCTGGCACACCTGTAGCGGTCTCTTTCACTTTCAGCTGGGTAGGCTTCAGTCATTTTTATTTGGGGCAGATGCTCTATAGAAAATGAAACGTTGGTACCTACCTGAGGGTTTCTTCTCTTCAGTGGGGCAAAGTCATCCAGATTTCTTAGGGCACACCTCCTCTAACTCCAGGCAGGACCATGCAATTTTTCTTGCAAGTCTCTTCTGGTTGGAGCTGGGCTGACCCACCCATCTTAGTATAGCCCAGCTCCATATTATCTTTAATACGCTCTATTTCTCCTGATTATCTTTTCCTTTCCTGAGTGGGAAGTAGATGACTTCACCCCACTGAAAAGAAGAAACCCCCAGGTAGGTTCCAACATTTCATTCTCCTTCAGTGAAGAAAGTTATCCAGATTGGTCATATGCCCAAGCTGTTATCCAGGGGGGTATCATTTTTCTTTCCTACGCCACAACCTGTTGCAGCCAAAGGTTGCCTCTGCAGAGCTCATCTGGTCAATTCTGTAATGCTTGACAAATGTGGAGAAGGTTGACCACGTGGCCATCATGCAGATCTCTTCTACTGGAGCTCTCATCACAAACATCAGGGAAGATGCTGCCACTTTAGTAGAATGAGCAGGGACATTCCTGGGTATCTTGTCAGAAACCTGAGAACCTGATTGTTGTATGGGGAAGCGATCAGATCCATTTCCAGCATTCCGAACCTGCTAGTCTGCTGCTGAAAGACTCCCAGATTTAGACTCTTTTCTGCTGGGTCTAAGTCTTGTCTGCTCAAACAATCTGCTTCTAGGTTTTTGACACCTCTTAAGTGCTCTGCTTTGATCCCGATCAATTTTTTCTCTGCCCTCTACATTAGAAGCTCAGCCTCCCTGAACAACTACTTTAATCTCATGCCCCCTTGTCTGTTGATGTGCACCTTCTCGGTTGTGTTGTCTCTGCACACTAAAACTTTCTGGTCCTGAAGGACATCTTGGAAAGCCATCAGGACTAATCTGATTGCTTGTAATTCTAGAGAGTTTATACTGTAGGCAGAACCCATTTGGCTCCACTTAACCTGGACAGCCTGCCCCCTGACAGGGTGCCCCCCAACCTCTTGCGCTGGCATCTGTTGTCACTACCAGGT